AATTGGAAAACAAACTGCAGAACGAAGGAGAGATAGAGAGGTATGAAATTTTGGGATGAATTCATGGTTATTTGGAGGGATTTTCATAAATCATAGTAAGCAGGAAAGACCGAAGGAGAGATAGAGAGGTAGAGACATGGAGAAGGTGGGAATTGTTGAAACTTGAAAGAAATAAATTAGGGTAGAAAAAAGCGGGATATGGAGGGAAAGATTTTGGGCTTTTCAATTTATTAGCCTTCTAAAAAAATGCTATTATTATATTTAGATAAAATTCAATTTTAATTTATAGCATTGTCAACAAGAATGCTATCTTTAAATGTTATAAAATGTATAAATTGTTGCAGTGCTAACGAGGATTGGGTTCTTGATACAGCTTGTACTTTTCATATGTGTCTCAATTGGGATTTGTTATCAACATATGAAAAAATTTCAAAAGGTGTTGTGATGATTGATAATAATACACATTGTCGAATAGTTAGTATTGATCGGGTCAGAATAAAGATATTTGATGGGATGGATAGAACACTTGATGCAGTAAGATACGTTCAAGATTTGAAGAGAAATCTTATATCCTTAAGTACTTTTGATTCAAAAAGGTACATATGCACTGTTGAATCCGCCTTGCCACTATTATCGATGGTGTCATTGTATTCAATTGCTAGTAATAAACCCATTTTTAGTCATAAGACTCCGCATAGTACAATTCTGTTGATTTAGTTGAGGGTTTGAATGCGATTAAGGGAGTTGATTTAAGTCAAAATCCTTCTTTTGATGTGTTTAGTTCTGATTCTATTATAGACTTGTTTCAGTTTTTTTTGGTGTTCATTAAATAATGGAATTTGTCTCTAGGTGGAGAATTTTTGAAATTTGTTCATTGAAGTGGAATTTGTGTCAAGGTGGAATTTGTTAGAATTAAAGTAAGACCTGAATTCTATTTGAAATCTACTTAGTAAATTCTAGTTGAAGTTTTATTTGGAAATCCAATTAGGAGTTGAAATTTGTATTAGATTTGAAAAGATCGAATTATGGACAGGGGAGAAAAATCGCTGCAATTTTGCTAGTTGACTGCTAGCTTGGCGCTCGAGGGACGTCCTCAAAATTTCAACTGAGATTTTGTGCCTTCTTGGCATTCGTTGATGCTCGATTGGCGGAGCTGCCAGTCACCTAGCACCCGAATGGCTTAGTTATTTGGCTTTGACCCGTTACCCATTTCGAGACGTTTTGAGTATTCATTTTCATCTATAACTCTATTATTAACGAAGTTGTTAATCAAAACTGTAGGATAATTGGAAAAAAAAATGCAATAAACACAAAAGTAAATAAGTGAAATTCATTCATCGAAATTTATTTTTTCAAACATCATAAGCTGTCTGCTAGGAGAAACATGAATAAAAAGGTTGACATTTTCTTGTTGCATTACATCCGGCCGGTGCTAGAGTCCTACTACTCTTTCCGGTCCATCCAACTTTAAACCTTTGGTGGCGCTCCTGGGACGCTGCATCATTTTAAGAAGTGAAGAGAATAAGTTATTACTTTGTCAACAATTAATAAAAAACTTCATTTATTTTACTGGAAAATTGGTGCCAGTCTCTCCAAATTTTAATAAAAAAAAAATCCAAACATTTTAAACAATACCATGCAACCAGCTCCAACCACAATAATTGACAAATTAAAAGGCAGTCGTCTTTTTCCATTTTAAAATTTAAAAAATATTCTATTTAAGAAGATTGAAAGCAAAAGTTAAGGACCCAATGATCCTTTCACCATTCCACTTTAATTGATTGGTAATTAGAAAGCAATCAACAACGGCTGACACAATGGGGTCCACGTGACTATATAATGTCAGCCCTGTTACTGAGCCACAGGCTCAAAAACACGGGCTGAGGTGATGCCACCTCAACCCCGATTTCACTTACTTTTTTTTTTTTTTCTTTTCAGATTTAAGGGTCGAGGTGTTGTCACCTCGACTTACTGTTTTTGAGCCTGGTTTTGCACCTGGCTGAGTAACATTTTTCATATAACGTTTGGATTTTTGATTAAAATAAAATCTGGAGAGAATGGTGTCCAGACGTGTGCTAAAACAACAAAGACGTTGGGTTGAGCTTACAGGCAGTTCACAAGGGGTAAAAAGCCAGTGAGGCCACATAGATTGGGAATTAGGCCAAATTTGGTAGGGAGAATGCCCGAAACGAATTGACTTAGTTTTAGACATTGACACAAACTGTCAACTCCCCCCAGACCGGTGAATTTACTTGCACCATCACAGCATTTCTTGCTGGGTAGGAGAGGAAGAAGGTTGGATAGAAAATCCGTGCAAGGAAGCAAATTCGGCACGGCAGTGGGGCAATCAACCTGTGCATCTGCTAATTGATGGTTTTGGGCTAGGATTAGAAGCCCCAAACAAAGAACTACCAACACGGAATGGTATAGTTTATTCATAGTCTTTATGTATTATAGAATGTTTTCTGTCTGCGCATGATAATGCAGATAAGTATGCTTCTTGATGGGGAGAGGGGAAAGGCTAATGTGTATATATAGAGAAAATGGACGAGAAATTTTAACAAGATTGTTGACATCTAATTAAATGTATCAGATTTTCAATTATATTTATGTGTCATCAATTCAGATTTCAATAATTTTTTAAGAGTTACCAACATGGATTACATAGATTTGAATAGAATACTTCATCGAATCATAAGACTTAACAGAGTTCAGTATTACTGATATTCATGGAATCTCGTTGATTTTATATGGATTTGAAACATTAGAACCAACTACTTTTATTTTTTATTTTTTTATTTTTATTTTTTTATGCATCCTAATATGTCTTTTTATTTGACATCAGACAAGTTATTCATTGTGCATATTGTCCCAATATATTAGAAAGTGAATATCCCTTTTCTTTTTTCTTTTTTTTTTCCTTTTTTTAAAGAAATTGGTATCCAAACTACACTTTTGAATAGAATTTGTATGATTAGGCGATGTGGTGAATGCATAGTTAAGGTGAAAACAAGTGTTTGTTTAGCAGATTAGGTTCTTGTTATGAAATGCTTGATATCATAAATTATGTTTTAGAAAAAAATATTTATTTTAGTGGAGTTTGTTGTAATCATGTGTTTTGAATTTGATTTCTCGTTGTGTACAAAATTGAATATGATTTTTCAAAAACAAAAAATAAAACAAGTTATGGACACAAAATCCACTAAAATCTAAATAATATATATATAGGAGTTGTGTTTGAATTTCTAAAGAGTTTGATATTCATATATATGAGCTCGAAATAATTAAAATATATTAAAAGTTCTTCTAATTAATGAAATTCTTAGAAATCCATGGATTATGGGAAACCTAGAATTCTAAGGATTATATTAAAATTTAGGTGTCTTTTAAAATTCAAGTTGAAGACCTAATGTTAACCTCGAAAATTGGATCTTCCACGTGTCCAACCGAGAGCTACTCCACGTATTCCTCCCTGCGCACAATCAACGCATGGTCAGACGCACACGGTCGGTACCAGCGGAGATGGTGGCGGCCGTATACACTCCGACGGTCAAGTCAAGTTCAGGTAGTCGGAACAGTACCCAGAGGTTGTGCAAAATAATAAAAAGGAGGAGAAAATATATACTTGCTATGGAGTGCTATGTAGTAAGAGTTTCATTACCTTTGCCTCTTACCAATCCTTCGGTATTTATAGGTGAGACGAATCGTTGGATGTGGGACACGTGTATACATCTGACGGTATGAGGCGTCTGCTCATAGGCGTCAATCAGCCGCGTTTGTAGAGTTGGCGGGTAACTGCTTCTCCCGAGTTGAGTTGACATAAAGTTGATACATCACACCAACTAACCTCATTGAGATGTCAAAGCAATTTAATCCTTAGGGGCAGAAAGGATCTTGGCAAATATCTCCTTCTAAAATTGGCGGCGTATCTTCTGACAAAGGTCCTTGGAGTGCACTTCGCCTCAACATCATGGGAGGACGCTTCGGTCAGTTAGGCAGAATTGTCTGTGGCTTCGCAGTGTGATAGCAGGTCGTTGACATTGGAGAGATCACTTCGGAACCACTTCGGGTGGATGTCTAACAGATCGGAGTGCCTTGTGGTGAATATTCTGAGATGGTCTAGTTAGGGGCGTAACACCTAACTTTAAATGAACGAACTAAAATGAGATTGGGACATTTACAGGGTGTCATCAAATCAGATTTTAGTAATTTTAAAAGAATGTATAAATTTAGATTGTTTCAAGTCATATTCTGATATATTTACATTAAAATCTAGGTGACAAAATTTCTAAATATTTCTAAAAATACTAAACTCTTAGAATTTTCAAAACTAACCCCTCAGATTTCAATGTATTTTAAGCTCACCAATATGAAGTCACACACGCGTGCACACACAAACACAAATAAAATAAAATAAAATAAAAAACTAAACTAAATTAAGTAAATAAAAATATAAGAATAAAAACTGTGATTCTTATTTTCAATTCTCATTTGAAATTTAAAGTGGAAGAGAAAAGGTAAAGAGGATTGAGTTTGGTTCCTACTGGAACTTT